GCCAGCTGTGACATAACAATCCACTCGAATAATTCTCACCTTATTGATATTTACGGGCAATGTTGATTCATGAGTTTCAACGATGCCAAACACATCGGCTTCGAACCCTAAAAGTTCGGCAACAGTGTTTTCATGTTTGAGATGGATGTAATATTTCGACTGCATTTTACATTTCAAAGTGTTTTTGTTTGCGTGTAGGAGAAATACTTCTTCGATATTCTCCTCAGCTCCATTTCCCAATTGCATTTCTTTGAATTTAATGCATTTTGGAATCACCTAATTGGTTTTATCAATTTTATATGCTCCAGGTCGAATTTTTATAATGATAGGAGGCGAGTTAGCTTCTTCAGAATAGGCGATAACATTATTTTTTACATCCACATTGAATATGGAGTTGTAGGAACAGAAACCGTGTAAGCCCAGACCATAATTAGTGCCACTATCCAATTCGATGGGTGGGTAGAAGTTGCCGCTCGCTCAACTCGCTAAAGTGTTCCGACAATGAAAACGTACGTGACATGACTGATTAATTTTCACTGATTCATGTGTTTTTATTGCTGACAGCAGAAATTGTGTAGTAATCGTCGATTTTTGGATGGTCTGTCCAGATGGTCCATCCCATTATTGTTACTACAATCACATCATTCACTTTAAAATAACAACAGAAATGTTTTCTTGTAGGTGGGCCATCATTCTAATCGGAATTACTGCTGTTACCATTGGAATTATTCTGATGGTCTTGGCAGTACTGGTACTTCAAGACATCAATATCATTTTTTAGATTTTGTGGTAACTTATACCATACAGATGCAATTTCATGCGGTGCACACCCAATCAACACCTCTTTCGGCATACCAGCGAGTTGTTTTTTAGTCATTTTTCGTAAAGTGCGATCAATGAATGACTCATCCTATTGATACTCTCCCTGTCCTGCGCTGGTGTTATCTCCATGTCTTGCTCTGGAGAAATTTCAAACACAAATGACCACAGCATACTGTATTGAATTGTTGTTTACGCTTATAGTTATATGTGATAATATTGATAGGATTTGAGCCCCTATAAAAATAGTGAATCATTTATTTTGGAGGGGGTAAGTCACCAAAACTATCAAAATATTTCAATGAAGTGTCACTTTTTCTGTATGCTACTCAATGTGTCCCTTGACCATGTCGTCGACTATCCAAATTTACTATAGCAGATTCATATCGAAATGATCCCGATTTTGGCAAATCGGCACGCATATATACCCCCCGAAAATCCTAATCCTTTACGGCAAGGGTTCGAGTAGATATCGCTGTCTCGTTTACCTAGAGCGATTGCCTCCATGTTTTTATTATGTCGATTTGCCTCACTCAATTGCACCCTACTCACTTTTGCTGCTTGTACTGCTTTTATTATGCCAGCTGTAGCACCGGCTAAATTACCTAGCGCTGATAAACCAGCAAATGAGTGGTAGTATTCCACCAATTTTAGGAATTGGTATGATTCGCGGTGTAAAAATTTTCTTTTTCCCACCCGCAGCCCTCATATATTTGCGTGCTGCTTTTAGTGCAATTTCAGCTGCTGTTTTAGATTTTTTGACAACAAATTCACTTCCATCTGCTTTGTGTACAACATCGCGCACTTTCTTAACGATTCCAGAACCAAAAGCTATCACCTTAGAATCTTTCAATATTTTTTCAATTTTTTTTCTTGATAGGACGCTTTTTTTCTGTATCCGTGACTGCTTGGATGATGACTCGCAACCCATACCAAATCGCCGTTTTCCCTTCACGTAATTAGCCAAGCGGCTCCTTTCTTTCCAATAGAAGCGTCTTTTGCGTTGAATCAATTGCAAGTACTTTCTGCAAGCTCTACATGTGCCTAGCTGAAAGATTGCTGGTATTCTGCATATGCAATATCGTGTTTTTGGCATGCAGAATCCAGTTGATTGATACCCGGATCACTGATAGCCAGGTAAGTGTAATTCGAAAGGTAGACTATTAATGAGGGAATTGGCCAACCCCCTACCAGATTTAATTGAATACCACTTAGGAGATCTGTATCGACTCATAACCCCCATTTAAATAAAGAAATCGATATGAAGACCTGCTTATATAGTCTCCAACTGTCATACAATGCACATACTTAAGCAGTAGCAGCAATTTTCCATCGATAATTTTAATGAAAAGGTGGATGGTGGATCGGAAAGCGGTGTCAAACAGCGTCATGGATCCTTACTTCCACTATTCGTTCGCGGTTTGATTATCGGCAAGACAAATGTTATGATTTCTCTGCTGAGTCACCCTCTAGAATTACGATTTGCAAATGTTTATATTTATTTAAAGTCCCTTTATCAACCCAAATATGAGTATTTACGTGAAGTATTAGCTCCAATTGAAGGGTTGGGATTTTACACTTTCGCCAATAATGCTGCTGAAATATTAGAGCCGTCAAATGCCAAAACCGATTCAATATTCATTTTCGATGATGTGATGTGTCATAAAAAATGTGGATTGCTTCTATCTGGCCCAAACATATTCACGATTCCCGAAACAATTGATTCGAGATAATGCAAATTTTATTGTGCTTTATTGGAATAAACTCGAAGAATTGGTTGATCGCCTTCGAATACTTTGCAGTTCACGAATGGCTGGACATAGCAGGCACGATAATGAAATATTGGCGTAGAAGAGGTGGTGTTAGTAAACCACTTGGATTCATTCTCACACCACATGATGATTATGACATTCAAAATAAGTGGTTGCAGAATGTTGGTGAACCTGTAGACGGTGAAGACTCTGTCACTGAAAGATATGTTGACGATCACATTGGGGAAGCCAAAGAGTCAACCCTGAAGTATTTCCAAGAATTCATTGCGGAAGCGTTACGATACTTCAGAAAAAACATTGATTCAAAAAATACCGAACTGCAAATCATTATTGACAAAAATGCACTCATCACTTCTGCATTAGCTGATCAATTGAGTCATGTGGAAAAGCGAATTGGTGTTATAACCGAGTTGGTTGATACTTTCACTAAGAGAGTTATTGAAGTTGAACAGTCAGTCGTTAAACCTGCACGTGAACAGTAGCGAACTGAATCCTTAACTTCATCACTTCGAAGAAGCCATATGGGAGTTATATGAGCAATGCAAAATGGCAAGTTGTGAAGGAAATACATTAGCCGGCGCGTCGAAATTTTCCCTGTCGAAAGACAATAATAAAGGGATTTTATGACTTGTAGCAGATGGATTTGATGGAAATGCAACCATATGCTAAAGAAAATGACGGTCTTAGGTACATCCTCGTAGTAATAAACTGTTATTCGAAGTATGTAAGGTCAAGGTCATTGAGAAATTAAACTGCTGATTCAGTTACTGCAGCTATGGCCAGTGTGTTGAAAGATGCAAAGCATCTCCCGAGAAAGTTACAATCTGATCACGGTACCGAGTTTTATAATTCAAAATTTTCATCGCTAATAAGTGGCACCGTGAACTAACTTAAGGCTAGTTCATGTTGGAACGAACATCGCATAAAAAGTGCGATTTAAAACGGCGTCGTGTTTATCGTAAAAAAGTTGAAAAAATTGAACTTTTTTGCGATTTCCGCAAGATTTTATACGTCAACATACAATGAGGTTATATTGCTTTTACTCTCGTTTTTTAAGCCCATACATCGAAATTGAATCCGAAATGGATTCAATTTCGAGGTTGTTCAAATTATATCAACTTTACCGTAAAAAGCTTCATTGAGAAAACCCCGTCTTTATAGTGGAAAATATTTTCAAAAATANTTAAATTGCCCTATTGTATTTGCCCTCTAGGGTTTACCTAAGATTGCCCGACAGATTCAGTCTGGTTCTGTACTATTTCTTTTCATGTATTGACTCTATTAAACATTAATAGGCTTTACAATCGGCTTCAGTAGCAAATACTTTCATGAATATTTACTTTGAGCTGTAGGAACTCAAGGTTGGTATTTGTGAATCTCCTCATCTATTGGGTGGGCCTGTCAGATATCTGACCAATGACGTTCTTTCATCCCCCAATTGTTCTCCCGCCATAATAAGTTTCCCAAATCATCAGGTGGATATTGTAGTTTTAGAAAATGTGTAAGTATAAGTCAAAACTTTGTATCGAACAGTCGCAATATACATTTATCTGTGCTATCTTCGCATTACTTTTAATTTAACACAAGACTTGGTGCAAGCCTTGTGTGTTACTCGAATACGGACGATAAAACAATCGTACGTCAAAACAGGGGTGATATCTTATAATTGTATTATCAGGTTTTTTTCGAATTTGCACGGAACATAGTTACTACAATGAAATTTTTTCTACAATTTAGAATGAATATCAACTACACCCTGCATCAAATTTCATGATCCGCGTAACAAATTCCGCGTCCGCCATTGAAATAATGATGCAGGTCCAACCGCGAATCAGCGATGTATGAATTGATTTACGGATTCGCCACCACTGTCGTGTACCCGCGGCCATGGCCACGGATCCGCGTTTCTTTCGGCGGAATATTTTAATTCGCGGTCGCGAATTGATTCAATTCGCAGATCAACCACTAGGTTGTAAGCGCCTTAGAAGTTGGGGATATAAAAATTACTATTAACTTCAGATCACTACGCAGATTCTATCATCACACATTAGTATTATCACTCTCAGATATCATCCGTCACATATATATGAAATAAAATACACTTTAATTACGAGTCTATCTTCTCTATGGACCATCATCAATTGGTTCTCTTTGCATAAAACTCAGGAAGAAAAGTTTACATTGATGAGCTAACCGCATAAATTGAGAGGTGAATACCTAATAAGAGTGTTTTTGTTTTTTATTCAATCAAATTTACTTTCATTTCATTTCAAACGCACCAATTTGTAGTTATGTCAGCATAGCAGTTGAAAAAAAGCAGGAACAGAATTTTTTGTCAGAATTAATTTTTTTTAATTAGAAAAAAAATCCAACAAACTAATTGTTATTGTTTTCATTATTTTTCAAATACAGATATAACATTTCGAACTTAGTTTTGTACTATAAATATAATTTATTCTACATATTGAATATGACTAGAACATGATTGGATTGGAAGTATAAATGCTGCCACAACCCGTATATAGCAACCAGAGTATATATTTTTAAATACTGCAAAATATTTACAACAATCTTTAACAAGCTTTAGTAAGTATACTTTGAAAGAATGATCGATTATTCAATGAGGATAGGAAGGCCGTCGTCTGGGTAATTGTAAAATAGTTCGGGAATGATGGGATGTAGGGAGGAGTAGACACTGCCCCAACCGTGCAGTGCCTTGTGTACACCAACCAACAATATGTGTACTCCTAGGAAAGGATCAGGAATATGATTATTCTATGGGGATAGGAGATGGTGGTGGACTATCCTCGATGAGGATTGGTGGGTCAGGAAAATCTTCATCGTTGGAATCATCATCATTCGTCTACTTGGGAAATAGGTCCCATATCACTGCCACGCAGTGCCGTATACACAAACCAACCAACTCATATGTAATCCATAAAAAAAGGATCTAGGATAAATGAAGGTTATGTTACAACGTCGTCAACTCCCTTCCTGATCTGATCCTTGAGAGCCTTCACACGGTCGCTCATTTCGTCGACCTCCAAGGGATATCGATTTGTTAAATCACCCTCAACACGGTACTCCTCTTCCACTCCATTGATGCTGATTTCCACCTCAGACAATTCGGTCAACAAACGCCGTTTCCGTTCGACTACCTGCGCCTGTAGAACTTCAAATCGTCGCTTACGTGCTGCAATTTCCGCCAATTTTTCGTCGCTGTCCCGGATCGTTACCAGCTTTGGCTTCCTCTCATGGCATATTCTGCTGAGTTCAAGCACGTCCTAGACTAAGCTGTAACTCCTCTGCGACGATGGTAACTCCACCTCGATGCCAGAGGGTTGGGCAGAAATTACCTCCTGAACATTTGGCGCAGGCATCGGTGGCGGAGGTGCTATGGAGCTGGCTAGTGGTTGATCATATGGCTTGGCTGTGGTATCAAAAGACAACGTGGTGGCTGGCTCAATGTTGCACGCAACAGTTGACATCTGCGGCACCGTCGGTGGCTGCTTTTTCGTCTTGGCCGCTTTAGCCTTCGAGATAGTGGTATCCGACGTAGAAAGGGCCCGTCAGAGGGTCGAGATCATTGGCGGCCGTCGATAAGGGCTACTCTCATCCCACCTCTTCATGTACTTCTGCAGCTTCGACTGCTTTGGCTTCACCGACGGCTCCACTTGTTTTGACTTAGCGGCGGGCCTCCTCTTCTTAGCCGGTTCGGGAGCAGCAAACTCATCAACACTATCGCTTGCTGCCGCTCTCTTGCTGACACTCTTCGCACCTTTGGTGGTGCTCTTCGTTTCAGAAGAAGGGGTAGTCGAACGAACATTCTTCTTCCAGCTGCATCCGGGTCTTGTAGCCGTCACCAAAACAGCTTCTTCAGGAAGGGGGCTAAGTAGAGGTCCAACTTGGAATACCGTTAGGAAGTCTACGATATCCTCTGGTAGCCGTGATCGCTGCACCACCAAGTCCTGCAGGATGTTAACCTTACCCTCCACGGATTTACCGGCGTCAATGAAAGAAGACATACTCCACACTAGAAATTCACAAAATAATTAGAATAAAGCATAATAATCAACATTACTTATATACTAACAGTTTTGCTTCGAAGAAGATGAAGACAGATAGCCAACTAAATTCGGTAGATATTCAAAGCCTAGAAGAAGCAGTTCAAATGATGATAGCTCTCGAGCAGTCCCACTTCTGTTACCTAAGCCACTTTTCCTCAACCCCCTCCACTTACCACCTCCACTTTACCTGATACGGGGATTAAATACTGAGTCTGACAACACTGTTATATTATATTCTCGCAGATTATGCGGATAGCTTAATATTATCGTTTCTAATATTATGCAATATGGTTTATACCTCTTCAATACTTTTTGGTGGAATTGAAATTAAACAAGATGTATTACTGATATATTTTATTTCATAATCTATATCACGATTGATATTTACAGTGGGAATGTCGAAACGTCGAACACGAAACTCCAGAAGCGGTTCAACCCGAACTCAAGGACAACANAATTGTAAAGAATACAAAATAAGCAGTTCATCATAAATTTTTCTCAACAGTTTTTACAGGATTCTTATGAAGCAATTTTTGTAAAATTTGGGTTTAATGATGTCAAATATCGAAATTGATCAAGAAACAAATATGAAAAAAATTAATTTTTTTCAGGGAAAGAGTCCGTAAAGTTTTTAAAAATCAGAAGGGTTGAAAGAGTCTGGATCAAAAAAATAGAGCGCTTCACAAAAGTCAATACTTTTTTATAGTCGTTTTATAGATATTGATAACAAAGGGTTGTGTGCCAAGCTTGAGCTTGATAGCTTTAGAAATAATTAGGCATTAATTAATCCTGCGACCGGCACGTGGGGTGTGACATACCCCAGCCGTAGAAAATTCCATATAACTTTTCGAAATTGACGCCCCAGCGTCGAGATATTGTCAGTAGCTTCCACATATAGCCTCCACTCTCATATTCATCTCAAATCAGTCGTCGTTTGACATATATCTGGACCATGCAGAAATGAACTGCAAATCTTGCGTAAAAATGGCAAATATTGATGACCTGTAACTTTTTTTTTCATGATTTTCAATAATATTTTTTTTATTTCTAATTTATGTTTTATTACCTGTTTGAAACAGCAATTTGATATTTATTTAGTCTTTTATGTGCAAAAGACTTCTTCGAGTAAATCTATTTTTTCCACTAAAAGAACCCATTGTTTTGGTAAAGACGGAATATAACGTTTTTTTGCTCGTTTTGGTAAATCGAAAATTATTTTATTGCAAAAAGAGATATTACAGTATAGAATTCTCATAACAACAATGTTTAAATTCAAAAAAATGTTAATTTTAACAGAAAAATCATATTGGGGTCTCGCACACCCCACGACGTGTCTACAAATGTTACAGAAGTCCACATGTCGGACACAGGGTTAAGATTCAAGTAAATATTAACATTTCAATGCTCTGTAATATCGTGAATGCAGCATATGAATTTATAATAGTTTTATTCTCAAAATAATCCACAGAATCAACCCCTCAAATATTTATATGATATTTCGAAACATCCTGTACAACTATGTGCATGAGTCATAAATATATATTTGTGACAAATGAGAAACAGTAATTCTTAGAACTTTTAAAATTAGAAAGACTATTGCATGGATCTACCTTAGATAAAATACAAATTTTATATAAGAATCAATAATTATTGATGCAAACTTTTCTTTAAAAATTTCCGTCTTCCAATTCATGATTATTAACTTACCTTTAACAATTGTCCTGATTTATTCATGTCCAGTACATCCTCTAAACTTGGTAATGGTTTTTTTGACTTATAATATTTAAAACTTCTTTTAAACATAAATAAACTCAAGCAAATAACTTTACAGAAAAAAGTGCATATAAATCTCAACTGAGTTAACAATGATAACTTCAAAATAAAGATAATTATTCAAATACCTTTGCTTCTAAACTCAGAAAAAAATGTTTGTTAAAGTTAGGTTAGGTTTGCTTTTCAGTTTTTAAGCCGTTTGGCCGTGTCTTCATGGGCAGCAGCCACTGCCGAAGCAGTTAAATTTGACATATTTTACTGCTCGAGCGGCAAACTATAAAATCGTTTGTTATTGTTATATTCACCTTTTCAAAAGTGAACTCTGAATCTGTTAAATCTGTTAACGTTCTCCCGACCACCCTCAAAAGTCGAGACTTGTGCTAGCTAAAAACTAACGAGGCCCTTTCTTCCAACGTGCAATTCCTAGCACAGGTCGAACCGTAAGCAGTGAAAAGCAATTATTTGCTGCTGTAAGTAATTTCCAAATATTTTTGATAGGCAGAATTACCCTGCGTAGAATGAATATATTAAAACCAAACCAGCATCATCAGCGGATTATCAAACTTCATGTTTTTGTTCAGGTGTAGAAAAAGTTATTTTGATAGGTTCAGAATATTACCTACATTTTATTTCTCAAAAAAAGACTGTAGAGTTCAATATTGGAAGTATTTTGCAAAAATGCATATTCTGAATGAGTTTTGAAAACTTAGATGATCTATATAGAATTAACTTTATTCATCCTTCGAAAAATTTTGTGGATTCAAAAAATAATGTTGATAATCCATTTCGCAAAAATTATCCAAAAATGACGAGAGTAAAGTGGGGGTGTTGGGGTATAAATCAAAAACCAAATTGTTTTCTACATAGATCGTCGCAGTTCTCAATATCAACCCTGTATATGCATTTTCAGAAAATAATCTCAATACCATTCCTCTAAAATTCTTAGAAAATGACAGAAATAATGTAGGGGTCTTGAGAGATGAATCTACACAGTCTATCACAAAAAAATTCTAAATGGGATTATGAACAGAAATGCACCAAACTCAATATAAGGTTATGAGTTGGTTGAAGACACAAGATGTAATGAATTTCAGACTTACTTTTCGTGAGTTGACTTTGATAAAAATAGACAACCATGAAAAAATAGTCTGCGATAAAAAATATGTTTTTTCCAACTCACGCGTATGAAATTTCATGATGCCATTATTATCTATTTATTAAATTAAATTGAAATAAATTCGAAAAAACCACCATGAGCATTTCTGATTCAATTTCAAGACTTCACATTCCTCATTCCGTTTGTACAATAATGGGAAGAATCATTACATCCGTGATTACTGGAATGAAAACAACGGTGGCGAACGTATCACCAACACCTACAACACAATTGAATCAGTGAGACATTCCTCAGTCAAAACCCTTGGGCTTAATGGGTTGAAAAATATTGGCAACACCTGTTTCAAGAACAGTGCAATCCAATGTTTGTCAAATACGAGATGGTTACTGGAATATTTTGAAAAAGATGAGTACATGAAAGATATCAATACTAATAGTTCTAATACGGAGGGTGCTTTAATCAAAACTTTCGCAGAAGTTATCAAGGAATTGTGGTCAGAAGATTCATCGGATAGAGCAGTGAACACAGTCTCCTTAAAAAGTCAGATTCAGAGTTTTGCCCCTCGATTCATGGGTCATGCGCATCAAGACGCCCATGAGTTCCTTCGTTATCTTTTAGAAGGCTTACATGATGACGTTAATAAAATTATTGAGAAACCTAAACCGACCTTAACGGAGATTAACGAAAAATTGAGCGACAGCGAAAAAGCGCAAGAGTCATGGCTGATTTATTTGAGTACCTATATATAACTCTAAGATTGTAGATAATTTCGTTGGTCAATTACAATCCACGATGAAGTGCACACATTGTGGAGACTCATCTGTAACCTTCGATCATTTCTGGGATTTGTCACTTCCCACACCACAAAGAACTGGCCAATTGAATTTATCACAGTGCTTGAATTTCTTCACAAGAGAGGAAACTTTGGATGGACATGAAAAACCGACGTGTTCAAGTTGCAAAGAAAGAAGAAAATGCACAAAGTCTCTATCGATCCATAAGTTTCCCCGTATTTTAGTCATTCATTTTAAAAGATTTTCTCAAACAGAAAGACTTAGAGGCAAGTTAAATATTGCCATCGAATTTCCTCTAGATGGATTAAGCATGAACAATTATGCAGCAGAAAATGTGACTCCTTGTCGTTATAATCTATATGCACTTTCGAACCACACTGGATCTACCTATAGCGGACATTATACAGCATTCTGCAGACATACTTATACTGGCACGTGGCACGAATACAATAATTCACACGTGTCACCAATTTCACCAAAATCGCTTGTGAGTGGGGATGCATACATCCTCTTTTATGAAAAGGAGAAAACAAGTTCGCACCTTTGAGCGTTTTGAAATGTTATTTTTATACTGTTGTTTCACTGTTATGATGAATTTGTTTCGGCTTCACACAGACTTTCGCCATTCATATTGGAATTATTATATAAATGAGTGTGGGTCCATTTGATTTGTTTCTATGTATGGGAAAGTTCAACGACACCTGCCGGACATATTAAAACTAAATGAGATGGTAAAACAAAAAACAAAGTCCTGTCAACTGTTCACATATATTGTTGTGATTTCTTGTACGTTCCGTGAAGTCAATTTATTTTACCTATTTATTATATAGTTTTTTAGGTCTATAATAAACGCACAAAAAAACATGACTCTCATAAATTCCGAATTAAATAACTCAAAACACAAAAACCCCAAAACAATAAGCATAACCCACGTTCAAAATTCAGTTATTTCGATCTGCTCTTAGATGTTTGAGTAATGCCATTATCGGTGAAATTCTTCTCTATACTTTTTCTGTGTTCTGTGCTACGAATGTAAATCTGAAATTTTTGAAAAAACCAGGCTTACTATATAGAAATAGACTCGATTTATTTAGACGAGGGATACCTGAAGGAAGGGAAAAGGTGTGGTTGCAAACAGGGTTGGCATCAATAAAATAGTGACAGCAATTCTGGCGTTATAGACACTAAATTTGAATTTTAGAGTTGAAAATCAATTTGCCATTGGCTTAATGCGCCTGAATGGAAGCAAAAGCCAAAACCGTTGCCAAAATATGGTCGTTACTTTATGAAGATCTATAAAATGTTTTTTCCATATTTTGGAAGAACAAAAATGAAAAATATTTTTTTCTGTTCGAAATGTACCAAGTGCCTATTACACAACTTTGCCAAAGAGGTTTTTAATATCATTTCAGTGAATATAATTATCAATTTTCATTAAATATATGGTTTTGACACCATTGTTGAATATACTAACATGTGCTTTAATAAATCTCTCTACATATTATGTTAAGGAAGTTTTGAAAATCTCATCAAAATCTGTTCAAAAAAAAATCTGTTTTTCCGTTAATCAGCTGCCGCCCCCATACGAACGACAACTCTCAAAAGTTGAGAAACTTGTGCGAGCTAAGGACTAACGAGGTCTTACCTTTTAACGTGTGATTCCTAACACGGTAGCAGAATCATTCCAGCTTCAACCAGATAAATTCTCTCGAGAAAAATATCTGGTCGAGGCGGAAATCGAACACAAGACCTTCCGATCGTGAGTCGGACGCACTACCACCGCGGCCAATTCCACAATCTATAGATACCTTAAAATATATATTGTATCAAATGTGGAAAGTTAGTGTCTCTTATCAGCAGAATACTTTCTGTGAAAGTGTCTATAGAAAAGAGACCTCAACGAACGGCCGTTTTTTATATATGTGAGCAAAGATATAATTTGAGCTTTACATAGTATTGAAATGTCTAAGAGTCCTGTTCAGCTTTCTAGTTTGAAATCTTAGTGTCATTAATTTTCATCAAGTAACGGCTCAGTCCATTCATAATATGTATGATTCTGGGAGGACACCTAATGCATCATAATGTACAAGATAGAAATCGTAATACACAGAAATTTAATCCAACATAACGTCAAACGATAGAAATATCAATTGATCATATAGTACAAGATAGAAACGTACAGCGGCATAATGTAGTTTCATAACGTAATCCTGATTCTGGCACATTCATCTTCTTCACCATGTACTGAACACTCGATAAGTACAATTATCTTCCTTTTGATACTTCGATTACTGATAAAATCTCGTTCGGTATGAATAAAACTGAAAACCCCAACCATAGTTCACGTTCATTATTATTGCTCATTGTTAATTTTTTTCATCGATTCAATATCATTGGACAATGAATTCGACCAATCACTTGGCAGTGTCCGCCATATGCAGCCACAAATATCAATAGAAAATGATGACATTTTTCAACCCCCCTATATAGTAACTGTAAACCTGAAAAAACCGCTAAATTTGATTTTTTTTAAATTTATCGTTGAAATAGGGTTGCCAACAACCCAACACCAAATGCCTCCTGTTTTGTCAAGTAAAATACTATTCTATTCTGAGTTCTGAGCTCCTGAGATTCGATTGTAGCCTATGATATGTTGTTAAGTTGAACCTATGTTATTCCTGATATTGATTCCTCTCTCGGCGGCTGTCAGCTTCTAAGTACGTCCAAATGATCAATACAGTCGTCGGCCCAGGCTGGGTGGATTTTATTTTGTGTATTAAATTCATACGAAGCCAACGGTGGTGCAATAATATTGAAAAGTGAAAATATAATGGCAGGTCAAACAATAAATGACCGCTTATTAGCGGCCAAACACAGTCTAGCAGGACAAGGCCTAGCTAAATCTGTTTGTAAAGCTACTACTGAAGAGATGCTGGGTCCCAAAAAGAAGCATTTGGATTATTTAGTTCACTGTACTAATGAGCCTAATGTGTCTATACCCCAAATGGCAAATTTATTGATGGAAAGGTCTCAGAGCACAAATTGGGTAGTTGTATTTAAATCTCTTATTACTACACATCATGTAATGTGTTATGGAAACGAAAGATTCACTCAGTATTTAGCATCCAGCAATGTTTCCTTTCAATTATCGAATTTTGTTGATAAAACTGGAGTTCAAAGTGCTGTAGGTGCCAAAACTGGCTATGATATGTCCCCATTCATTAGAAGATATGCCAAGTACCTTAACGAAAAAGCTTTATCTTATAGATCAGTAGCTTTTGATTTTTGTAAGGTAAAACGTGGAAAAGAAGAGGGAACGTTACGAACCATGAATTCTGAAAATTTACTCAAGACGTTACCAGTTTTACAAAACCAACTTGATGCACTTTTAGAATTTGATTGTGTAGCAAATGATCTCACAAATGGAGTTATAAATATGTGCTTCATGTTGCTTTTTCGTGATCTCATTAGACTCTTTGCATGTTACAATGATGGAGTGATCAACTTATTAGAGAAATTTTTTGAAATGAATAAAAAACAATGTAGAGAAGCATTAGATTTATACAAAAAGTTTTTGATACGAATGGATAGAGTTGGGGAATTTTTAAAAGTTGCTGAAAATATAGGTATTGATAAAGGGGATATTCCAGATCTCACAAGAGCACCTAATAGTCTTTTACAAGCATTGGAACAGCATTTGGCTTCACTTGAAGGCAATACTCCAACAACTGCAACCGCACAAAAGACTCTAAAATCAGGAGTTAGTGCATTGTCCAATACAAGCAATGCCTTTGGGACAGCTGTTAATGATAATTTTGAACAAGCAGCAGTGGCTGAAGAAGAAGCAGCTCTGAGTCACTATCGATCAACCGTTGGTTCTCCTTCAACTATAAATACTAATCCATTCTTGAGTGAGGAACCTCAAAATGATCCTGAGCCTATACTTGACTTATTTTCTGATGGAATAAGTGTTTCCCAGAAACCTAATGTCATACTACCAACCAATGCAATGGATGATCTACTTTCTCTAGGAGGAAATCCTTTTGCAGATTTTTCTTCAACTGATGTTCCAGCAAAAGATGATAGTTTATCAGCCACTTATAACACAAGTAAAATGTGGGCTAGCAACGGATTTTCTGATAAAGATATGTTTCAGCAACCTTCAGCTTTTGTTGCACCCAACAATTTCAGTGGGTTATTCAATACAAACGAGGCTTCAGTATTTGATCCTATTACTGAACAGTCTAAACCTTCCATGATTACCCATACTTCCGTTCATGTTCAACCTTCTAGACCTGTTGCACCTTCTAAAATATTGACCGGAGATTTAGAGTCCAGTCTCACCTCGCTTGTGGAAAATTTAACTATGGATGCAGGTATGTTGAAAAATATTATACCTTCTTGCATAATTATTTGGTTGTTATATATTTATTTATCTTTTCATTTTCACTGAATTATTTTCCAACAGCTTGACTGTTGGATGTTTTCTAAATGTACTATAACAATAAATATTTCATTAAACGTTTCATGTCAACACGGCCACCATCAGTTTTTTAAAGCGATAAAATCTCAAATCAGTGGTATATCACAATTGATATTTTTATAGTGTTTCATTTAAAATTAGCAGTGATCAGTGACAACAATCAAACAGAAAAATAAAATATATATAAAGAATTTTTGGGGGGAAATGAAACAAATACAGAAAATGAATTCTATGTGACAAACTACATTGGATGTTCGAATTGACGACCTCTCTGTTGAATGCACATAAGTTGTTTGTCCATACAATTTCTGTAACAATTTTCTAGCCTGATGGATGTAATGCTATTACATGCATTTTGTTTGAGATGGTCGATATCTGTACTTGGTGTTGAAAAAACTTTATACTTTATATATCCCCAGAAAAAAATCTAAAGGAGTAAGGTGTGGGAATCGAGCTGGCCAGGTAATTGGTCCATTGTTTCCAATCCATTTTGTTGGGAATATCACATCTAAATGATTCCTTACCATTTCTGTGTTATAGTGAGGGGCACCATTTCGTAGAAAATATTGTATTTCATGCCTGATGTTCAGTGGCAATTCATCTTAGTAGCCTTCAAACTCATTGGATTCAAACACTCATCGTGAAAGAAAGGACCTAGTATGTTTGTTTAAAAAATTCCCAACCTTTCCTGAAAATTGGTTTCTCTATGTAAATGTTCATTCGTTTTATTCCACCTATAATGGATGTTTCTGTTATACCAACCATTGTTGGTGAATTTTGATTTGCCCGGCCATATTATTTTTTACAAATATTTCCAATTTCCCTATTTCTACGTCTTAACTACTTCGCAAATTTTATACTCCTTCCCTAATCCCTTTCATTAAGGTGATGAACTTTGCGTTTCCTGTAGCATTTGTATTTTTTTCTTTTTTCAAATATTTCTGGTAGAACATTTCTAATCAAAAACAATCTTTATTGAAAATATTTTTGTAACTGACTAATACTAAATTGAAAAAAAAAATTTCACTTTGTTAATCTCAATGAGGTAATGTTTGCTTACCCAAAACTTTCGTTCGGTTCCTCACACTTCCAGTAACAACACATTTTCTAATTTAAATTTTGTCAAATATGTCAAATATTTCTTGCCAAAAGAGGATTTTACTTGATTTTGCATAAGTGAATTGCATATCAGTCCTTTCGTCATTTGAAAACATCTTCAATATGTAACCGAGTGCGTAAATGTTTGACAGTTCTTAACAGATATCAACAACTCATTCATTTTCTCTACCATAGAAACCAAGCAAAGCTCACGCAAATTACACAACAGTCGTATTTTGACCAAAAACTAATATTTTCGTTACTTCCAAGATTGAGATTTATAAAAATATGCTGTATAAAAACTGATTCAGGAGACATCAGCCTTTGAACAAGGATCACTGTAATACAAAAAATTGGGTAGGGGTATCTTCTTATAGAAATTATTGGGTAATGTCCAGAGGTAGGCCAATAGTTGAATGTGTTTGCAAGAAATCAAAACAATTTACAAAAGAACTAAAGACAGGACCATAAATAAAATTTGTTGTCAATAATAATGTTAATTATTTCAAATAGAACGCTATAAAAATATAAGTGTTTTCATTCACTTGTCCAAGGCATTCGACTCTTTATGGAGGCACCTTGTCAGATAAGTATGCCGTTAAACTGGGCGTAAAGTGTACAGCATCGATAAATAAATGATTTTGAAGGATCCCCAAACATCAAACAATACATCTAAAACTAACTAACTAACTGATCTGATCGTATGAAGTGACCAGAACAATTTATGTTTTTATAATTTATTTAGGAGCTTTTACAGAATTGAAAATCAAATACATGTTTCATCAAGAACTTGACATTAGTGTGCAGTTGTCCAAAAATATGCCATTTCATTATAGTCTATAGTTCTATAATCGTGAAAGGTGATTTCAATATCAATTACAATGACTGTGATTCTCTGGTTAATGAGTCACTGAAGAACTTACTTTTATCATTTGACTTAAGTATGCACGTTGATACGGATACTCGCATCTCTCGATTTTCTGCATCCTGCATCGACTATGTCTGTAGCAATATTGACAAGCAAAATGTTTCATGCACCGTTATTCCATCCGGATTATCTGATCATGAAGCAGTGATATGTTCTATTCTTTCAAAATCAACAAAAAAACAAACCATACAAAAGTATGGTAGATTGTTCAGTTGTTCAAACTATGATAGGTTCTATCAAAACTGCCTTGAAATATACTGGGTGAGCATACTCTCTGAATGTGACCCCTTTTTATCATTCCACAGTGCATTGTCTGATGTGTTCAATAAGTCATTTCCAGAACAAATAATTAAAAATAAATGTAAACAGCCATCGGTGACAAAAGGACTGAAAACATCCTCTAGAAACCTGTGTTCACTGCATTATATCAGAAAATTCACAAAAGAAACATTTTTCTGGAACTATTTCAATGATTACAAAAAAGTCTATCGATCCACTATCAGTCTAGCTAAGAGAATATATTACAGCAACAGAATGGGGGAATTGAAGAATAAAATTAAAGAAACTTGGTCAATTATTAGTGATATAAGAGGTAAAATAAAAAATAAAAACTCTGAACTCTCACTTAATCCTAATATAATAAATGAGTTCTATTGTTCTATTGCTGAACAGTTGAGTAACACAATTCATGCTCCATATGATCCTAAAATAAAGTTTTTTGAAATTTTTTTATGAATATAATTGAAATGGGTATTGAAGTTCAGAAAGTTATCCAACTGGAAGCCCAAATACTTGATATTGTAGCTCCCTACCATAAGCTTCAGACCATATATGTTTTATATTTTGTTGAAATCTGCTCATCATGGATCATCTGATAATGCGAAACAATATAGGGTGATCCTTTAAAAAAAAATTGTTGACATGCTCTGGGGGTGCGATAGGGAAAGTAATATCAAATGTGAATATGTAAAAATGTTTCCCCCCTGTATACTATTGTTGAGGTGTTTTTTATTTTTCCTGAAAATCATTGCACCAAAAGTTATTCAGGGTGACTCGTTTTGAATGGAATGCACTGTTTAAAGTATCCTACTCAATTGGGCCAGAAAGCAAGGTAGTAGAATTCATCCTTATACTTAAAGTCAGAATCTACTTTGAAACCACTTTTCGAAAGTTTTCGGATTCGAAATTTGGTATGTTACACAAATTCAAAGAATGTCAGCACTGCTTCTTCGTGACTTTTCAATGCGGATTAAATCTGCCAGTGGTATATCCAAAGACTAGCCTCGTAGTCTATTTCACAAGTGCCTTTCAGGTCAAACATTTTTTTTCCGCCACCAAAAATTTGAACGAGGTGTTATATTCAAGTGCCGCTTGCAAGAGTTGCAAAAGTTATAAACAATTAACTGAAAAAAATGGGGTTTGATTTTTTGCAAATATGTCAAAAACTATTTGACATTTTTCAAATTTGAAAAAATATTCAAAAAAAGTCATTCTGCCCGGAACTGTAGGATCAATATTTATAATTTTCCCAAAGGGTTGAAAATACGTCCTAAAACGGTTACTAGGGCTTGCGCAAGACACGCCCACTTTGGACCTTTAATGAAAAAATTCCTACGGGAATCTATTGAGGCCTGTCAAAAAAAGCTCTAACAAAAAAATCTCAGATTTGTTATTCAACAATTATTCCTGTTTAGGTAGAAAAAATTGTTATTTAACTAATGCATAATTAACTGGAAAATCACGATAAAAATGTTTTGGTCGCATGATTATTGTTCCTTCATTTATCCAGAAGGTGCCTGAATTTNAATTATCATTACTTTTCATTAATTGTTAAATGAAAATTATCAGTTTACAATGTTTCTCATAAATTGTAAAGAATACAAAATAAGCAGTTCATCATAAATTTTTCTCAACAGTTTTTACAGGATTCTTATGAAGCAATTTTTGTAAAATTTGGGTTTAATGATGTCAAATATCGAAATTGATCAAGAAACAAATATGAAAAAAATTATTTTTTTTTAGGAAAAGAGTCCGTAAAGTTTTTAAAAATCAGAAGGGTTGAAAGAGTCTGGATCAAAAAAATAGAGCGCTTCACAAAAGTCAATACTTTTTTATAGTCGTTTTATAGATATTGATAACAAAGGGTTGTGTGCCAAGCTTGAGCTTGATAGCTTTAGAAATAATTAGGCATTAATTAATCCTGCGACCGGCACGTGGGGTGTGACATACCCCAGCCGTAGAAAATTCCATATAACTTTTCGAAATTGACGCCCCAGCGTCGAGATATTGTCAGTAGCTTCCACATATAGCCTCCACTCTCATATTCATCTCAAATCAGTCGTCGTTTGACATATATCTGGACCATGCAGAAATGAACTGCAAATCTTGCGTAAAAATGGCAAATATTGATGACCTGTAACTTTTTTTTTCATGATTTTCAATAATATTTTTTTTATTTCTAATTTATGTTTTATTACCTGTTTGAAACAGCAATTTGATATTTATTTAGTCTTTTATGTGCAAAAGACTTCTTCGAGTAAATCTATTTTTTCCACTAAAAGAACCCATTGTTTTGGTAAAGACGGAATATAACGTTTTTTTGCTCGTTTTGGTAAATCGAAAATTATTTTATTGCAAAAAGAGATATTACAGTATAGAATTCTCATAACAACAATGTTTAAATTCAAAAAAATGTTAATTTTAACAGAAAAATCATATTGGGGTCTCGCACACCCCACGACGTGTCTACAAATGTTACAGAAGTCCACATGTCGGACACAGGGTTAAGATTCAAGTAAATATTAACATTTCAATGCTCTGTAATATCGTGAATGCAGCATATGGATTTATAATAGTTTTATTCTCAAAATAATCCACAGAATCAACCCCTCAAATATTTATATGATATTTCGAAACATCCTGTACAACTATGTGCATGAGTCATAAATATATATTTGTGACAAATGAGAAACAGTAATTCTTAGAACTTTTAAAATTAGAAAGTTTGGTTTGGTTTCTTAGCATTTTATAATAGTTCCAATCAGTAACGTTCTTAGTTTTTTTGAATTTTTTAAGAGCTTTATCCCTTAGACCTATTATAAGTTTCACATTATCAGTGAGCCACGGTTGTTGAAGCTTTCTCACTTTTACTTTTTTTACTGGCGCAACAGTATCAAATATGAGAAGCATCAAATCAGTAAAATATTTAACCTTGTCATTAACATCCTGGAAAAACAAAATGTCATCAAAGGGTGATAGTAACAGCAGCTGCAGTTCGTAACGTCCCAATAAGTGATGAATGATGATGCTTCATTTTCATCATAAAGTGGGAGAGGGAAGGAGGATACATAAGCGACCTTAAATTCACTTCAGCAAAGGCAGATAATATTGCAGAAGGTCACTCAAAGTCAAACTGAAAACACACTCCAAAAGTCTCTTCGTCCATGCGGCTGAAGGTCGTTCAAAATCGAATCTTCGAAATAGCAGTGTGGATCAATGAAGATCGTTCAAGGTCAAACTTAAAACACTACCTCAAAGTTGCCTTGCTTTCGTCGTGTGATGTAGGTAATAGTCGTTCAAGGGCAAACTGAAAACAATCTTTCAAAGTCATCTACGCAACAAGAAAGCCACGTAACTGGCTTGAGTTCATTCGAGGTCAAAGTCACCTTGTCGAAAATATGGGGGTTAAACCCAAAATACCACCTCTGTCACCTTGCCTACACCGCTGTATTACGTAGGTGAAGGTCGTTCAAGGTCAAACTCAAAACACCTCCTCAAAGTCACCTTGGCTACTTCGTGTGACGTATATAGAGGTCATTTCAGGGTTAAAAGTGGTGTGGGGAGGTTCTGAAATCGGCTCAAACCAACTACTTATACATTGACGTTATCACGACGTTTTGCCTGGATCATGTGCTCTACTAGGTGGCTGAACTTGAAACTGAACTTCAAGCAGTTTATAATTATTGTTTACTAAAAATACTCGAGTCTGTTAGATTTTGAGGTTATGAAATTTGTGAGTAGGTATCTTTTCACGTAGTATAAGTTACCGTAAATAATATAGTCAACAAATAATTGTACCTTCTAAGATTTATACATACCTTAAAGAAAATAACGGAGCATTCAAATTATTTTCAGAATGATCAGTGTGGCCAGATAGTGTGGAATTCATTTGATAGTAGTTCACAATAGCAGCTTCAGCTACGAAGTCTGTATATCCCAATTGATTTGCAATGTATTCAATCATCTTCTTCAACTCTTCGGGAAATTGCTCTCTTTCTGCTTCATTATAGTGCTTAAAATAAAATAAAGATATAGCTAAAGAAAAAAAATTCTATTTGTCAAAAACCTCTTTTGATCGATTTTAAATGTTTCACGGATAAAGGAAGTTTGGAAAAACTGAAGGGTACAAAACCTACAAAAAACTACGAGACTNCTGATACAATAGACTAGAAATAATTGATAATGTTAGCCCTTATATATCTAAACACCACTGTAGGTAATAACAAAGGTACTTGACTCAATTGAGTACGTGAATTTTGTTTATCTGTAACAATATAGGTACACTAATTTGAAAACTGGTGAGTAAACTAGATCGATTTGATCATTCAGCAGGTTACATTCACAATGCTTATGCTTATGAATTTCCAAGGATTTCAAATAATTGAGTTTTCACTTGCTCGGATAGTACAAAATTTCCGTACCGTTTAGAATCTGGAACTTATTTTTCTGAAAAAACACGCAATTGTCTTTTCAGAAAAAGCAATGTGGAAGTGGCATTCAGACCACATGCCAGGTTATCCAATTTCCTTTTCAATGACAAAGATAAAGTGGACAAGATGGAGAAATCTGGAGTTTTATAAGCTTAAATGTCCGGAGTGTAATGGTGTTTATGTGGGACAATGTGGCCGAAATTTCTCAAAGGGGCATGCTGAACATGAAAGGTCCTTCAGACTAGGTAAAAATGATTCGACGTTTTCAAACCATTCCTTGGAATGCAACCACAAGTTACCGAATTTAAATGATACGGAAATTTTGCACTATGCAAGCAAGGATTGGAAACTCAATTATTTGGATTCCTTTGGAAATTCATAAGCATAAGCATTGCGGATGTAACCTGGTAAATGATAAAATCAATATAGTTTTCTTACCGGTTTTCAAATTAGCATACTCACATTGTCACAGACAAATGAAATTCAGGTACTCAATCGAGTTAAGTACCTCTGTTTATCATCTATTGTGGTGTTTAGATATATAAGGGCTGATATTATCAATTATGTTTAGTTTATTGTATTAGTTTGAAAATATCCTTATGAGACAAAACTGCAGTAACGTTAGTTTTATGATAAAGCTGGATAAGCAATTTTGTGAAGTCGTGTTTTGGACTCAATATAGCTGGTTGATAACATGCATTAGAATCTTTCCTGCCACGGTTAAGGCTGAGATCGAACCTAGTGGATCAAAAACAGACATCAAAGACCTTAGAATGGTTATTTTCGTAGGAGTCATTTTGCAAATCTGGAATTTTTCAAATTTATATGAAAAGTTACCATTGTCAGAGTAACTTGCCCACATCTGTGTTCTTCTTGTATGCCAATTTAGTGAAACAGTTTTTTACACCCCCGCATAAACCAAATCATCTTTGTCGAAATGTCCATAGAATCAATACTAAGGATTGCAGTAGATCTTGTCCAGGTAATAACACATCGTGGAGATTTGTATTGTTTGATTTGACAGCTGCATCAAACACAAGCCCGCTTTTGTTGGGCTTGTTTGGATTCTACACAGCAAAGTAGGGCAGAAACCATGTTCAAGGATTGATATGTTGTTCTTCTTCTTTAGTCAGTTTCCTAATATATCCTTTTTCTTTATAATTTTAAAATTCTAGACAATATTGTCTGGCAAAATTATCGTTTAGACGGCATTTCTTTTCTACACATTTCAGTCTTTGAAAGGCTTGAAGTTTACTTTCTGGTAAGATTACATCATCTTTTTTCCATAATATTCTAATTTCGTTATTGTATCCGTTGTATTTGATTGTATTATTCATCAAATTTAAGGTACTTGAAATTTCCTGGGAGAATTGATCGGTTGTTATCAGAGTGCCAAAAGTTTCTGTCGGGTATGATTTAGTGAATAATTCTTGAAGTTCTTCATCGAATGTTTGTTTATCGTAAATGTGCAAGATGTAAGCTTTAAAGACATTTTCCTCGTTAATAGGGCTTGGTCCGTGTAAAGACCAACCCAATTTACTAGCAACTGGAAGATGTTCCGAGCAACTCCGTGTCAGTCTGGTAATTATCAAATGAATATTATCTTGGCCAATGAGCATTATAGCTCATTTACATGAGCATTACATGCCATTTATCGGAAGACCTTGTAGATGCGAGCATTTCTTCCAATCTGCAAACTTGACGTTTTGGTCTGGAACAGAGATGTTGGGGACAGTTTGCACACCTTTTTGACAATTGAGGCAAATTTACGGAACCGCAAAAATATTATCGCAATCGTTCTAATATGAACTCGCCTTTAAGCGCTCGAAGATGTGAACGGACAGCCGATTAAAGGTTCCTTCTATGGGACGGAATTGTGTGACAGAACGATCGATGGTGGTATCCAAAAGTAATGTTGGTGCTGTTTCCGATTTTACTCGATAGGGAACAATAACGGTGGCTGGTATTAACATGTAAACACACATGATATGATATCTATGATGCAAATGGGTCAGTATTGGTGTGAGGCATGNTTAAAAGGTAAGACCTCGTTAGTCCTTAGCTCGCACAAGTTTCTCAACTTCTGAGAGTTGTCGTTCGTATAGGGGCAACAGCTGATTAACGGAAAAACAGATTTTTAAACAGAATTCTGGATTCAGAAAGGTAGATGAATTTTTTAAATGACACGCCCCTCAAGTTGCTCCTCCCACACGTCTGGTGAGGAAGAGAGAGTATCATAGAGCCATTGTGAAATCTGGCACAGGGATTGGAGATAGGAACTTCAACCTACCTATCTGTGAGTGTGTGTGTATGTATGTTATTCAGGGTTGCTCGTTTTCAACTCAAATAATTTGTACCTCCCTACCATAAGCTCAAATAATTTGTACCTCCCTACCATAAGCTTCAGACCATATGTTTTATACTTTGTTGAAATCTGCTCATCATGGATCATCTGATAATGCGAAACAATATAGGGTGATCCTTTAAAAAAAATTGTTGACACTGAAATAAAAGTCCAAAGTGCGCGTGTCTTGCACAAACCGGCGTGCATAACGAGCATCCAGGCGTGCTTTTTCAGGCGTGTTTCTTGAATACCAGAAATCATGAATCGAATATGTGTGTAGTCTTTTAGTCCATGCTACAACAAATAGATATCCTTACCAACACTTTAAATCATTGGAACGATCATTTATCTTCAAATTATATCTTTTCGGCCTTTATATTCCTAACGAACAGGTTCTATACTTTTGTTGAATATGAGGAGCAGAATGAGCTAATAAAAATGCACACATCAACACACTGCTACATAGATAAAATGAAATTATTCATGGTAATGATCGCACTATATAATCTACTAAATGCTTTAAATGAATTATTTCTATGTCATTTCGATATCTTTCCACATTACCTTCGAACAAGTCTATGACATTCGAAGGTCTAGCCTTATTTATTTCTGTTTCTCACTAGAGAGTCACCATATTTCCAGTCTTTACAAGAATTGACTGTTTTACTTGAAACATTTTACTAATTTTGAGAAATCGAATGTGTATAATGTACAATAGTGAACCAGTCTACTTCAATCTTATACTCCAGAAATATCTACATCAAATTTATTACAATAAGTAAGTAAGTAAGTAAGTACTTTATTTAACCACTTTATATACAGTTGCATATTTGTAGCAAGTCACAAAAGTTTGTTCATTGGATAAAAACATTAAGTAGATATAAAACTAGACATATACCACAATATCTTGTCAATTTATTAAAATTTTCAAGAAGTCTACTTCTTCTTATCAAAAAATAAATAGATAAGTACTACTATTCTGATCATTCCCATATTGATTTCAATTCAAGAGCCACCGGTAGACAGCTGTTTCAGCCTATTGGGCATCGTCAGTACCAGGCAGGCGGTCCTCGATTGAAGACAAAATGCGAATAACCAAGAAAAGTACTTGATGAAAATAACTGCCTAGACGCAAACGAGACATAATTGGAACCACCTATTGATGTAGGTATAGATTTATCGCATTGAACTAACTAATCATCTGATTGTTCCTCCAATAATCTTATGAGTTGATCCAATTTTTCATCAGAGTCCACCTCATGATTAGGCACAGTTTTGAGGGCGTCCAAAAGGAATTTTGAATTTACCTCAGGGCTGGTTTGGTAGAACTCAATATCCTTATGTCCCCACGGTAATGTTTTTGTGGTATTGGTGATGATGAATCGCTTATCATCCTTGTATGATAAGCAACTTTATTACACATTAGAGTATAGTCATCGTTTAACTCATTTCGAAAAGTGCGTATCTTACGCAATATGGCACCACCCGAATCGACTATTTTCCTATAATCATAAAGTGACATTTGATTTTATATCACCGACTTTTTTATTCCTTTTGCCTTCTTCAATTCATCACTAACGGATTTGACATGATAGGCTTTTGCGCCGGTACCATAAAAACTGATAATTGGATCATTACGAAATTCGTCTTTCATCTTTCCAAATATTGGCTCGGTTATAGGCAAAGCAAACTGATTTCCAACTTTGTAGTTAGATGTATCCAATTTCTCCACATTTTCCCTCATGAAATCATAAAAGTTCTCCATAAAAACTTTGAGAATGAGAGAGT